ATCTGTCCCGTGCTCCCACGCAGCCTGCGGTGCCCTCCGACTCGGCCTGGGCCTACGGATCGGGTGGAGCTCTAGGGTTTAGGGTTTAGGGTTTAGGGTTTAGGTTGAGGCCCGAGCCCTCGATCAAAAGCCTCAGGGCCCTCATCCAATGGTGTAGGATTCAGGGACTTTTGGGATGGTTTAGATTGTTTAGGGCGTTCACACCTCATGGTTTGGGTTTCAGGCTGTTTGTTCGTGTAGGCTTCACGATAGTTCCGGCAGCAGGCGGCTGGCTTCAATCCTTCCGCGTTTGCGATATCGGATATCGACGGTTCACCAAGCTGTCTTCGGCTTCCAGACGGAGCTGGTCGTTCTGAAGCCCAAACTGCTAAACCATGAACCCCAAACCCAACGCCTTCTCACCCGAATGATTCATAGATGTTGCCCACCGGGCCGGGACCGTAAAGTTTGAATTTAGTGCTTGTCAAGGTCTTAAGAGCCGTGTTGTACTACTGAGAGCCCCCACAGCTGGGACTCCCCTATGCAGATTTGAGAGTAGATGCCCCAGCTATCCGTTTCTGAATCCAGCATGAAGAAGTAGCCAAGGAAAGGGCACCAAGAAGTAAGATCAACAATGCCTAAGCGTCGGATGCTTGCTCTTCCACTTCCTGCTAGGAGCAGTGAAACCATACTTGGAGGTTCATCGGTAGTATAAGTAGGCCTTTTAGTATTCAGTATGGAAACTATACATATCGGCATTTCCTTTTCTGCCGCGAATAGAATAGAATCCCCTTGAAGGGACCCTCGAAAAAGGGGTACTCCCCATTTTCAGAAACCCCCCTAGAACCCTATTTCGGGTACGTAGAACCATACTTAAAAACTACCCGTGGGACTCATAGACGCTCGCAGACGGCCTCGGCGGGTGGGCTGTTGAACGCATTCTTGGCTGCTTCGAGGTATCTGCGGCCGCACTGAACCCTAAACCTTAAAGCGAAAAAAGTGAAACGAGGTTTCTAGGTTTCTCAAAGGCGTGTAGGACGAACAGGACATCGACCTGACCTAGAGGCTGATGTCCTTTCCCTTGGGTTTTGGAGACCTGATTAGAGTTTCATGGGTTTAGGGCAGGAACCGAGGTAGTTACCCCCAGAGCACTCTGTTCGAGAAAAGCCGGTTTATAAGGGGTCAGAAACATACAAGAGGGAAGCAGCACTGGCGTGCTATAGAAGTCCGCTAGCCGCTTCTTGTGCTTTTGTCGCTTCTGCAGTCGCAGATGAGGCTGATAATGGGTTCGGCTGGAGATCTCGGGTTGGGGCTTTAGGGTTTAGGTTTAGGAAGGGGGGAGAAAGCCCCAAATTAAGAAATCCAAGGGGCTGCCTTTCTTATTTGAGGGGGAGTTGACTTTACCTTGGCTCGGCTTAGGGGATTTTGGTCCAGAGCATTGAAGGCCTAAACCCCAAACCCGAAACACCAAACCCGAAACCCGAAACCCTAAGCCCTAAAGTCACGATACGCCCGCGCTACTGTATTTCATGTCTTTTCATGCCTACTTACAGGGTTGATTGAGTCTTTGCAACTTTGTGCCAAAATTTGGGAATGCTGCCCATTTTTTGAAGATTGTGGGGTTTGCGTTTAAGGGGTCGCATTGCAATCGTGCCCGGGCCATTTCTCAGCTCGAATCTCGACATCACTGTCCCTGGAAACAATCAGACCAGCGAAATGGTCTTTGTGTCAGGGCCCCACGCGATCATCGCTGCAAAAGTAGACGGTTATGTTTCAGGGACACCGAGACAAAGTTGGGGAGCCCTCAGTTTTGGAGCCCGCTTCCGACTTTGGAATCTTGCTGCCAACAGTCGGCACACCCCATGAGGACCCCACAGGCCTATGGGGTTAGGGGGAGCAGGGTCGAAGGTAAGAAACCGAAAGAAACCTACCAGAGCCAAAACAAAACAATCAGGTACAACACCTACTCCCCCCCCCCCCCTCCCTCTCCAGCAACCCCACAGGGGTCCCTATGAGCTCTGTCCTCAATCGGATGGCGTCGCGTCACTCGCGGCTGTTGCAACCGCACTCAGAAAGTACACGGGCGCGATGCGAAGGGAGGCCTACGGCCCCTCACGCAGTGAACCTCGGCTGGAGTAGCGTCAGATGGGCGTAAAGCGATGGTTTGGAATTGAGGTGTTTGGGGTGCATGGGTGGCTTAGTTTTGGAACAAGGTTCAACAGTCGAAGCTAGCATACATATCCCGTTGTGGTCAGAAAACACATAAACCAACACCTGATTGAAAAGATCGGCCCAGCTAGTCCCGGCCGTACCGTGCCCGGAATTTGGGTGCACTGATTGGCCCGGTTAGTCGGGCATTTTTCAACGAACAACTTGTCACAGCAGGGACATGTTCTATCATCGGGGCGAACACTCGCAAGAGGTGCTTAATACCAAGCTTAAGTTTCCGTGGCTCCCTAAGCCCCAAGCCCCAAGCCCTAAGCCCTAAGCCCTAAGCCCTAAGCCCTAAGCCCTAATCCCCACAACTTCCTGTACAACAGTAGTGTGTCCGCTTTGGCTATGCTTACGCGCCTGGGCAGTTTTAGCTGCAGCGGGTGGCAAGCTAAGCCTGTAGGCCATAGAGCAAAAAACTAGCAGGCTTAGGATTGTGTGCGAGGGGGCGCACCGGCGCGGGCATTCCACGGGAACTGCTGAAACCGACAAAAAGCCCAACCCGCAACCCTGATATCCCCTAGGCCACAGGCCCTGCAAATACGCCACAAACGCCATGAACTCTACACACCCGATGGGTGTCCAGCAACTGGCCAACCTACTCCCAGCAAGACCTACAGCCATTGAAGCCCTAGAAGCCACCAGAAATGGGGGGTGTACGATATTTGAGGGTCCCTGAGTGGGGGCCTTACTACAAGGGGATCCTACCATTTGGGGCTCTATATTCGGGGTCCCTTACTATCGTAAACCTCCCACAAATGATGTCCAGCAACTAGCCGAGCAGTCTTCCCACGAGCGCAGAGAGCCGCAGTCCCAGACGCAACCAGCGCAGAGCGGATTCGGAGACTTGTCCCTTGGTGTGGATAGTGGCGATTCTTAAGAACTTTACTTAGGACTGAGGAAGGAGTAAGCCGCCAAAAACCTGTGTTTCATGGTTCAGTGTTCCAAGGCGGGTGTTTTGGGTCGGGCATGGCTTTGCGGCTCCGGGATCAATTGTTCACACACCCCTTGGTTTGCAAATGGCCGAGTCTCGCCAATGCCTCACGCCGTCCTGGCCAGGTTGGCCCATATATACAAAACCCCATGCTACTATTGATCTTCCTTTTGTTGTTATTATTATCGTTATCATCACTATTATTAATATTATCATTATGATTCCTACAAATATTAGCAAAAAATCGAAACAAGATATGCTTGACGCCAATAGTCGAAAATACAAGTATCCCAAAGGGCCATCTAGTGTCTGCATCAGCGACACGACACGATTGGGCTTTCGCGTTGAGGTCTTCACGCGAAAGCCCCCCGATGGAAGGGGTGTGGAGTTGAGGCTTGGGTTGAGGGTTCAGGGTCTAGGGCTGTGGGTTCAGGTTCCCCAAACCGGCGTGAAGAACCGGATGAACTGAAGACAAGCCGAACCCTGGAAGCCACGACGGGTCAGCCCACGCTTGCAGTTTCGGGTTTAGGGTTTACCGGTCCCCAGAGTTCGAGCAATTACAGTGGCCCAAGGCCGAAAAAAGTGCATGTGATCCCAACTCAAATTTAGTGGCTCCCTAGGTTGGCCCTTGCAACTCTCTGAAAATACTCGTATACATGACCCCGAAAAGATAAACCCAAGAAGGGATTTTCCCAAGGGCTACACCCCAAGAGCCCGTGACTTCCTTCCTAAACACCCAAATTTTTACAACCCCTTCAAAACCTAAGCAACCCTAAATCCTGCAAACCCTAGACACCCCTAGCCTAGAAGCCCTACGAACCCTAAGCACCCCAGAACCTACAACCCCTGGAACAACTAGACGCACTAGAAATCAGATAAACCGCAATGAAGCCTATAAGCCGCAGAGCCCCTACGAGCCCTCGGCAGACCCGCACCGCACCCTCCTGAACCCTGAACCCTAAACCCTAACCCTAAACCCTAAACCCCAAACCCTAAACCCTAAACCCCAAACCCTAAACCCTAAACCCTAAACCCCAGCAAGGTGAAGTTGGAAGTCCTCTGGGGCGGCACCGACGGGATAAATCTGCCGGTTTTGTCGAAGACCTTTGGGTTGATATAAAGATTCATTAAGGGTTTAGGGTTCTACCTTAAAGCCAGATTCACAACCCGCATATGCTGTCGGGACCTTTCTTGGTTGTAGGCACGTTTGCTTTGTTGCTTTGGTTGTAGGCACGTTTGCTTTGTTGCTTTGGGCGTCGTCCCAAAATGAGGGGAACGGTGCCCCTACAATAGACCCCCAGACGCCAAAGTCGAAACTGCCAACCCCAGAACCCTAAACCCTAAACCACTCCTAAACCCTAAACCCTAAACCCTAAACCCTCTGGGGAGCATGGGTGGTGAACCTCACACCTACCATTCGTTTCGGGGCTTTAGGGCTGAGCGCGTTGGAGCCTGTAGGACCTTGAAGGCCGCAAAAGGTCCTTGCGGAGTTTCGCTTGTTTTGGTTTGGGGCTTGGGGCTTGGGGCTTGGGGCTTGGGGCTTGGGATGCCAAACCCCAAACGCTTTACTAAACCCTAAACCCTACAGTCCAATTTTTAAACCCTACACCCTAAACCCTAAACCCTAAACCGCCCCAAGCCCCTATTGTGTCCTTGGGTGCAAGAAGACAATTTGCTATCTGCTATCTAGGATACCCGAGAAAGTGGCCCTAACTTAGAGGACTGCTCATGAGCTACATGAGCCTCAACAAAACTAGGTCCAGACTAGGTCCAAGTACAATCCCCTTGCAATCCCCAGTTTCAGACGCACTGCCCAAAACACCCACTTAGAGAACTGACCATCAAAAGAGTACCGGAACGAATCTGAGGTCAATGCGTAGGTGACCTGGCGGGGCAGGGCTGACGGGTGACTCCACACATCTTCGCACTCATTCCGTAGTTGTTCCCAAGTTAGGGTTCAGATGGGGGTTTACGAAAATAAGGGACCCCTTATTTTGACCCCCAAATGGCAGGATTCCTTATAGCAAAGGACCCCAATAAGGTACCCCTATTTTCGGAAAACCCCCAGATGGTTTTGGACTCAGGGTACCTTTAGACTTTGCCTGTAAAGGGCATCTATGAGAACAAACCTCGAAGGCCTCAAACTCCGTGAACAAGCTGTCCTAAACCCTGGATAGCCCCCCGCCCCCCCCCCCCCCTCTGCTGAAAAAAAATGTAAGCCCCGCGTGACCCAAACCCGATCACTTGCCTGCCCATGTCGGGCTTCTACCTACTACTGAAGTACTGAACGCTTAAAAGCCCTAGCTCTCACCCGACTAAGCCCCCTAAACCAGAACCCACCACCCCCCGACTTCAAACCCTGCACCCCATCTCTGAACCCTAAATCCACCCCAAACCCTGAATCCTAAACCCTAAACCCTAAAACCCTAAACCCTGAACCCTAAACCCTAAACCCTAAAACCCTGAACCCTGAACCCTAAACCCGGCCTTGAGCTGCGCTCCGTCACCCAGGAGCCAGTCCCGGATGTCATCGCTCGTTCCCAACTTTCCCTCCTCATCGCATTAGAGGCTTAGGGGTCTTCAAAACTTGAGAGAACTTCCGGGGTTCAGGGGTTTGGGTGTTCTTAGTTCGAAGCGTGAGGGGTTTTTGAGGGTTCGGGCTTAGACGTTTGGGTTTTTGGGGGTTTAGGTTGTGGAGGCCCTCCTCATGCTTCCAATCTCTGTAGTTGTCGTTGTCCACGAGCTGGCAGCCATAACCTGGAGAAAGGCAGCCTAAGGATTTCTGCAGAGACGCAAAATATTAACGCTGTGCCGGCACGCTCCTATGTTCTTAAAGAAGCTGTGCAACAGCAGTCCTTTGTTGTATAACTAGTATGAAGTAAGGTTATGTTGTAGGATAACCTCAACTCAAGTAGGCCCCTGAACACCAGGAAAGCACCCTAAAGCCCCTACCCAAGAATGCCAAGTGTAACTCCCTGAGGCATCCGCGCATTGCCAAGCGAATGGTGAACCTCAGATCTCTTGGTCTAATAAAGGGGACTTAATAATTAGAACAGGGCTTTGGGGGTTATTGTAGTATATTGATAAAAGGGGCCATAAGGGAATACCACTACTACTTATTCCGACCCGTATAGTAGGGCTCTGAGGCCTTGGGTATTTGGGGCTTGAGAATTTTTTCAGGTGTTTGTAGAGCTGTTGGGGATTATTTAGGGCTTCGGGGCTTGGGGCTTCTCAGCAGGGCCTGAGCCCTAAATCAACCCTTACCTGGAGCCCCAAGTATGTAAAAAATAGCCCAACACCCAGAAGAAGACCACTATTTCACATACTTTGGAGTTTTTGGTAGCCCCTACAGCCAGACACAGGTACCCCCCAACTAGGCACATCTGCGCCGCGTGGCAAGTCATCGACATCTCCTGGGCCGAAAACGAGGGGTTTGGGGTTTAAGGCCTTGTTTGAAGGTTTCAGGGAGTTTAGGGTCTTGGGTCCCTCAGGGGCTAAAACGCGTCAAGCCCAGACATAGAGTTCGAAGCCTCACCCCGTCCAGTAAAGTGGCCTGGGTTTCTTGGGTTTTTGCCTTGAGAACAGAAGATTCGGGAAAATTTCACGGTATAGGGCCTCGAAGGCTTAAGCCTCAACGCAAAGTCGGCCACCATTCTAATGGCCAATTGAATGAGACTGCCGCTCAGATGGGGTTTGCAAAATCAAGGGTTTCGGGCTGAACGGCATGCATGAACTAAGCGGAACAGCGTCGCAGCTTTACCGGAAAGGACGCATTTCCTGTTTGTATTGCGAATTGCTCGAACTACCACATGCCAACTTCTTCATCTGAGGCCATCGCAAAAACACAAAAAATCAGGAACCAAATTGGCGGTCAAAGGGGGCTTGAAACCTGAAAGGAAAGAACCTGAGGCCTGAAGGAACGACCCCAGAAGGGGAGGAGAGGAACCCCAGGCCCGAATCAACGACCCCTGAAAAAAGAGGAGAGGGGGGAGGACCGCCCGGCAAAAATAAAAACTAGCCGCGCTTGGAGGGCGCGAAGTGAAGAAAAATCCGGGCGCCAAAAGGACGCAGCACAATAAAGCAATGCGTGGAGGAGGCTAAGGAATGAATAGCCCGGCTCAGTAAATCGAGCGGCTGGAAATCGCTCCACACTAGCCAATATGTAAGGGGCTGACGAGGAGGATGATGACTACGTTCTTAGCGATGGAGAAGAATGCCTTCCTTTGCCTCAAGAACGACACTGTCTTGAATTACATTCCGGAGACATGGGCAAATTTTTCCGGCAAACGCGCTCACATTTCACGGTTGGAAGGGCCCACAGGGGCGAACCTGTGCCGCAACTGTTCGCCGCCCGTGGGTCCCGAACCCGACTCCGACACCCCTCGATGGGAGCCTGCCTAGCAATCAAGCAAAGCTTCGATGCGCCGCTGGATTCTGTGACAAATAAAATAATGCTGGCTCTTGTGCCGCAGGCAGTGTGATGCGCATTCGGCTATGGCTGCCCTACTCAGTGAGCCTCACCCCTCAGCCACGGGTGGTCGCCTTAGTCCCGGCTGGAGCTGGCGCCGCCAGTCGGATGCCAGTCGGGATCGTCGTCGTCCTCCAACGACCGGGCCCTCGCCCGTGCCAGGAGCGCTGCCTCCTCTGCGTCCGTTGTGGCACAAAACGCGGTCGCCGCCGGCGGTGCATCCTCCTGGAAGAGCCAGCTGAAGTCGAAGGACTCCTCGCTGTCGCCCTCATTCGGGGCAGGGTGCTCTTGGCTTTGTGCATATTCTGAATATTTTCATTTTTATACATGAGAAAAACTTCATTAGGACAAATACGTTGAGTGCTGTCTTGCCCTACAAATATCAAAATTTTTTCAATATTCAAACCATATCTCAGATTTATCATTGATTTACCCAATGAAACATAACAATCACCCCAGGTAGATTTGAGGTGAACAAAGAGGATTCAATTTACTACTTGAATCTTCCTATATAGTTAACATCATTTATTGTCCAACAAAGATTTTTTTGAGCAATAGGCGTTTACCCCTGTGATGGGTTAACAAAACATTAACAAAATGCTCTCAAATCATTTCCGATTAGAGCCAACACAAGAAGTTGATATTGCAAACATACAATATATGGAATTATCTATTTGACTTTTGCACAAAATTAGGGATTTTTAAAAAAGTACGTGAATACAAAGTTCACAAAATCATCATTTCAAAATGAGTAGTTACTGCCAAATTGCATCAAATAATCCTCTCCGTGCTTCATACCACGATAATTACCTAAACCCTAAACCCTAAACCCTAAACCCTAAACCCTAAACCCTAAACCCTAAACCCTAAACCCCAAACCCTAAACCCTAAACCCTAAACCCTAAACCCTAAACCCTAAACCCTAGCCCAAGCTTCTGCCGAACTCCCCGAATCGGCTTCGCAGCCCGAAATCCCAAGAGCACCGAAAGGGCCAACCGCCGCAAGTCCGAGTGTAGTCTAGGGGTAGTTGGGTTTAGGGTTTAGGGTTCAGGGTTTCGCGTTTAGGGTTTATGGTACTTAATAACCAATCATATTCGGGCACTTAATTAAGGGGCTTATAAGTGGGTTATAAGTACAGCTTGATAATAAGTACCATGAACCTCCAAGCAAGAGTAGTTTCCTGGGCCCTTAATATGATCCGGTACGGAAAGGGTATACAAGGGGTCCTCTTTTCAGGGGCCATATTAAGGGACCATGTAACTACCCTAAGATGTAGGAGCCGAGAGGAAGGAGCTTAGGGGGGGTTTTGTGTCAACGTTGTAGATTCCGGTAGTCATTTCAGACGTTAAACGCTAAATCTGGAACCTCATTTCAGCCCTTAAGCCTAAAACCCTGAACCTCCAGTAAACCCCAAAGCCCTGGTTGAACCCCCACCCTCTTCTTCCCCAAGCCCGCTAAATTAACCAAGGCCCACAAAACACCCAGCGGGAGGCGAGTCTGGCCGGGGGACTTGAACACCTAAACCCTACTTCGCGAAACCTCTACACCTCCTACACCCCCCCGCCCTCTCCCAAATCAAGGGACCCCCTCTCCCAAATCAAGGGACCTTTTCAAGCTGTACCCCCAAAGGCTTCCCTTAACAAAAGACTCCTAACATGGCCCTTATACTACCTTAGGGATCTGTCCCCAAACCGCAAAAGTACCAACTCAGCTGTCCAGGTACAGTCGCTTGACCTAAACCCCGTAGCCGCCCTAAAACCCCTAAGACCATCAAACTTTGAGCCGAAGGTCGTTGGTCATCCACCACAGGGCAGACGATGACCCTCGACTTTAGGTCCGATGGCACTGGGGACATCTTCTCCGTCCTGAGCTTATGTTTTATGTTTACGGTAGTCCTGATCTAGGGTTTAGGGCTTGGCGTGTTTGCGGTCCAAGGTTTAGGGTGTAAGGATATGTGTGGTTCCTGATAGTGTCTATTTATGGTGCAGGGTCTGCACCCACTCTGTATGCAGAGATGTATTCACTGAGGGTTTAGGGTTATACAGGGTGCATGGTACTTATCTCGAGCTTTTGGGGCTTGCCCCTAAACTAACCGTCCTTAATGGGGTTTTGGGAGTAGGGTGGGGCTTCCACCCCTGAACCGCTTCATGTGTGCCATAGCTCCTTCTCACGATTACCTTCAGCCCCGCACGCGAAGATTCAGAGCCCGACAGCCTCAACTCCAACGTTTAGGGTATACTCCACACCGTCACTCCTTGTACCGAAGTGGGGGTGGGGGTGGGGTGGTGGAGGGGGGGGGGGTGGGGGTGGTGGGGGAGGTGGGGGTTGGGGGAGGTGGGGGTTGGGGGAGGTGGGGGGGAGGGGCTTCCCAAAATTAGGCACCTTGTTTTGGGGTTCTTATAAAGGGACTACCTATTCGGGAAATGCTGCATGAAAGCAATCAAAAAACCCGAAAGCCCCTGAGCCTATCGACTGTGCTTTTCTCGAATGGCTGTTGCAACCCCAAAACCGTAAACCCTCCTCAGCCCAAGCCCTGAACCCTCCTCAGCCCGTACTTCTTTTTGGAGCTTTCCGGTGCGCGCCTGAACTTGCAGACGCCCTGTGGTTGCAACCCATGGCTCTCGTAGAAGTCGAAGACCCTGAGCGCATCTCTCAGTTGGCGGATCCCTGACTGTGCTTTCCGCACTTACCCCTCTCAATTCGGGCAAACTTTCAGCCCTAAATCCTAGATGTTCTTCAACTTCTGCTGCCCTGCCCCCCTGCTTCTTCCCCGACTCCCTCATGCCCTTCAAACTGAAGCCCTCATATCCCAAACCCGATTAACCAGTTATAACTGTACTTATAACCCACTTAGAAGCCCCTTAAGTGCCCTAATATGGTTATAAGTAGTAATAGGTACAGTTATAATCGGTCAATAAGTACCATGAACCTCCAAGTAGAGTGTCCGGCTCACGCACTCGGGGACGCTAGGGGGGGCCGCTGGGACGCCAACCTCCTCACGCCGTCCCAGTCGAAGCCTCTTTTGGATGGGCCTGCGGGAGGGGAGAGTAGGGGCGGGGGGGGGGGGGGGGTTTCCGGATTAAAATTTAGGATTTTAGGGTTTAGGCTTAGGGTTTAGGGTTACTTCTGGGGTATAGGGTTCGGGGTTTGGGGTCTATAGGGTTCAGGGCTCAGCGAGGTCTAGAGTTTGGGGCTGAGGGTTCACGAGGTCTTGGTGGTTTAAGGTTTCGGGTTTCCGGTTTGGGGGGGCGGAATGTACGTCATCCAACCTACAAATTTCAACGTCTGCCTTCAGACAGATGCCGTGAAATATTCGAAACTCAGGCTCCTACCATCCCAAATCCCCCGTATCTCCTCGGAAGCCTTACCACGTCTCTAAGAAAGTAAGCGCGCGAAAACAGCTCAAGTAGTCATGCATCTCCACCCAGTGGTTCAGGGTTTTGGAGGCTTGCCCAGAACTAAAAACCCTTCACCTTGGGATGTTCCCCCTTGCACTAACAGCCATTCGTTGGGATTATAGTACCCCCTATTGCAATCCCTAGAAAGGACTGCTAGTATAAGGGGGGAACATCCCAACGAACACCCAAGGTATCCAAAGTGCCTGTCTCCGTGCTTGGGGGAAGCTTCTCGGCATAGAGCTGTCGGCGGCCTGGCAATCCAAGTCTCCGGAGCTTTTAGGGTCTAGGGCCCAGGTTGCATCATCGGACGCAGAGGGTCCCGCACACGAGGTATGGTTTGCGGCTTCAAAAGCCTATGTAGGCTGAACTTTGGGGGATTCCCAGCGTTTTCGGATTGAGAGCGGTTGGGCCAGGGCTCAAGGCACAAGTTCAGGGCTCAGGGCTGTCTGTCGCAGCATAAGGGAGAAGGCTTCTGCAGGTCTTACAGCTTCCTTGCCACAGCATGGGGTTTGGAGCTTAAGACTTCAGAAGCAAGCATCGAAGGAATCTCTGGGAAGAGAGCTCTAAACTCTTAAGCCGTAAACCACCAGCTTGACCGAGATGCTTTCAGAATAGACGGTCCCAACGTTCGCGCAGTTGATGACCACCTCATGCAGCCCAGGGTTAGGTTTATAGGGCTCAAGGGGCGAGTTCCTCAGACATTTAAAAGGGCAAACGTCGGATGAGGGCACTCTCTCCTGGAGCAAGTCTATAAGCATAATTGCTAAGAACTACAGATAACGATGCACACAAACCCAAAAACCTTAAACCCTCAATCGGACCTCTTGCAACCTCAGCCTGCGAAACCCCAAACCTGTTTTACTCAGTCCATCGCAGTCTTCGCCGGAGTCCTCTTCTCGACGGCCGCCTGTCATAAACCCATGCCCATGCGAAAAAAAGAAACGTCCACACGCCGTAGCCTTAATTCATCACTTTGCACACTCCTGTGGGACCCAAAGCCTCACGCCCTACAGGTGGGGTCATCTTCAAGAACGTGAAGCCATACTGTAGGAGCCTTACGTCTTAAGAATTCGAACATGATTTTGGGGGTTATTATAGTATAATTGTAAAGAGACCATAAGGGAACATGACCAGTAATCCTTCCGACCCCGATATTGCGCCTAGTAGGGGTTAGGGTTCACCAGGGATTGGGACAACAAACCATCTAGGGCGCATCTCCTCCGCGGAATCTGGTCATGAGTGCGGAGCGCATGCCGTTCATCCTAAACCATAAGCCCATACACCCTAAACCCTAAACCCTAAACCCTAAACCCTAAACCCTAAACCCTAAGCCCTAAGCCCTAAACCTAGAGCTACCCATCGCATCCTACGCAAAGGGTCGCTCTCCGCCTCTGGCTTCTCCACCGTCTGCTTCGCACTAGGCGCAGTTGGCCCTGCACTGGGCACCGCGACTTGCACCTGCATCAGGACACAGCAAACGCATGCTTGCGCTGCTTCCAATGCGGAGGACAACAACACGGTTTTTGCGTGTGCCGATTTCAGTCATGAGCCTTAGATGAACTTTCTTGGCTAGACTGTGGGTGGACACAAAATTCCTAAACCGTAAGCCCTAAACCCTATCTTGTTGCGACACACAACCATAGGGCCACGGGGGGATCACCGAGGCTCATTCATCAGCCCTTGGGCCGCACGAAAGTTTCATCAGCCTTGAACCTACCGTCCAGTCCAAACCCTGCAAATTAGTAGGTTGGCCGGGGTTTAGTGTTTAGGGTTTAGGGTTTAGGGTGTCGGGAAACAGGGCAAATCTCCAACCTCTGTCCCAGCCTCCACATCCTTCGGCTCTGCCACAGCTTCTTGCCGAGCCTTGTTCCTGCTGGACTTCATGGCCACTTCGCCCGCCTGTGGACCTGAGTTGTTCTAAGGTTCACTTGGAGGCTCATGGCACTTATGAGTGGGTTATAAGTACAGTTATAACTGGTTAGTAAGTATAATTACAATGAACCTCCAAGCAGGGTTCGTAAGACTTGTTGAATTTGGGTTTCAGCCTGCTTGGGCGTTGGGTCGCCGGGTGAACCCTAAACCCCACGCCCTGTAGGTGAAGGTGGATAAACGAGCATGGGCCGGGGGTGGATGGGGCTTAGGGTTGAATCTGATCTTGGGAGCCCCTAAACCTTATAAACCCGAAACCCGAAACGAGAACATTGACGAGACCTGCGGCACCAGAACACCCGGGGCTCTTCAAGGAGGCCTTGCGAAGGCTTTTCGGTGAGACTTCGGAGGCCAGTCGTGAGGCTCGCTCTTGTCCTAGGTCCCACTTGGAGGTTCGTGGGTAGGTATAAGTAGGGTGAACAGTACGGTGATAAGACTTAGAATCCTACTTAGGGTACTTATATAACACTACTTAGAAGTACCCATGAACCTCCAAGTATGCACTGCAAACCCCAGTTATCAGATGGTCCCTGGGGCCCTAAAATCATAAACTCCTGAAACGAAAACCCCTAAACCCCGCAGCTACACATGGCCACACTACATCCCCGCCCCGAAGTCCCAATGTGGGGTTTATTTACGGTTTAGGGTTCAGGGTTGAGGGTTCGGGGTTCAGGGTTTAGGGTTACATGGGGGTTCTTCCCAAAACGGGAATTTACAGTTTAAGGGGCCCCTCAACATGGTTACCTCAACCTTTGGGGAACACCTGGTAGAGTCCTAGAAATGACGAAACCCCAAACCCCAAACCCCAAACCCCAAACCCCAACTAAACCCTAAACCCTAAACCCTAAACCCCAAACCCCAAACCCCAAACCCCAAACCCCAAACCCCAAACCCCAAACCCCAACCAAACCCCAAACCCCAACTAAACCCTAAACCCTAAACCCTAAACCCTAAACCCTAAACCCTAAACCCTAAACCCTAAACCCTAAACCCTAAACCCTAAACCCTAAACCCTAAACCCTAAACCCTAAACCCTAAACCCTAAACCCTAAACCCTAAACCCTGCGCGGGCTAGTTGGGGGCTCAGTGAGTCCACTCTCCAAGGCGAGCTGCGCCGCAGACACCCCAAGGACTTGCGAGCAGCTTGGATGCTCGCCTGGCAGAAAAATTGCCGCGAGTTGCAGTGTGTAATGTCTAGGGGTTCGGGTTTAGGGTTTAGGGTTTAGGGCTACAAGCTTCGGGGCCTTAATGATTAGAATAGGGTTTTGGGGTTTTTCTAGTATATTTATAGAGGGAAAACTATTAGAAATTATTCCAACACCTATAGTGCCTGGATGCCCAGAGCACCTGTAAGAAAGAAAAGTATAAGCAAGCATACAGAGTGAACCAATGCTAGTCCGCTAACTTTGGGTCAAGGTTTTCGGATTCCCTCTCCACCCCCCCCCCCCCCCTCTCTTCCTCCTGTGGCGTCGGTGGGGGTTGAGGGTTTAGGGTTTCCATCCTCGTAACTGTCGGCACTTTTGGAAGGCGAGGGAGATGCGAGGCGCCAAAAATGACGAGGCGTCACGCGGATGGCTAACCTGTGGGGGGGGCCTGGGATCATACGTGGGGCAAACTTTGGGGTTGCCCGTGGAGGAAGGAAATATCTTTATTCGTCAAAAGGATCCCTACTTTAATTTAAGGAATTTTCTTTAGGTAAGGCTTAGAAGTTTAGGGTTTAGAGATGTTGTGAGGCCTTCAACCCTAGCCCTACTTAGTCCTTGAGAGGCATTGGGATCTCTGGAGGCTTTGCCTCCAGTTGGTCCAGATCTGTCTCCAGCTCGCGCAGCGCGACGCTGGCTTGAAGCCTTTCCAGAAGGGCCTCAGCTCGGTTTAGGGGGTGGGGTTCAGGGTTTAGACGGTTTAGATGGCTTGGCAGTTCAGGGTTTAGATTGTTTAGATGGTTGAGGGTTAGGGTCTAGGGGATAGGGTTTAGGGTTTGGGGTTTGCAGATGTTTTCAGGGCTTAATCATGGTTGAGAGGCTTGACTTCGGGGGCGTTGAGCGTATATATGTATGTATAATATAAATATAAATAAATAAATAGATGAATAATTGAATAAATAAATAAATTATATATATATATATATATATATATCGCGACAAGAAGTCCTCATGGCTAACGGTCCATCCGAAGCCTTTTGAGGGCATGCCGATTGATCCGCAAGGGCCCGACTGAGCTGCGCAGCTTCGCGGCGGGCACGTGCGATTCCTGCATCGCGTTGGCCCCCTCAAGCTGTTTCGCGCATTGAAAACCGCAGATGAATACATTCGAAGATGCTAACCAAGAGAAATATCAAGCTCAAAGTGCTCCTGACCCCCGAAGCTCACAAGAGCTGCTCCCCCAGAACTTCCGCAACAGCCTATGTGAGGAATAGAACCTCTCTTACCTCTTAAGGTTCAGAATCCCCCTGAGGGCTTAGGGCTCCCATGGGCTCCCCCACCGAAACCCTCAATTTAAGCTTCTTCGGAAGATCTGGAGGCAACCAACCCAAACGCACGAGACACTGCGACAAGGCGGGGTTTCTGGATAAGAGATCAGGCTTAGGGCCTTAGGCTTTGGGGTCTAGGGTTTGGGTTTAGGGTTTAGGGTTTCGGGTTTCGGGCTTCGGGTTTAGGGTTGAGGGTTTCGGGTCTGGGGTTTGGGGTAGACACTCATGTTGGCCACAAGGCATGTGGGTCCTTGATGGCCCGGCAAACCTTCCGGAGGCTTTGCCTGGTGCTCAGGGTCTGGGCTTAAGTACTCCAAACCTTAGGGTTTAGGGTTTCGGGTTTCGGGTTTAGGGTTTACGGTTCAAGGTTTAGGGCTTAGGGTTTGGGGCTTAGGGTTTAAGGTCCAGGCTACGGGGTTGGATCAAGGGCAGCCATGCAAGCCCTGCCTTAGGCCACAGAACCTGGAGCTCAGGATCCCTTTAAACCCTCTGAAACATATCTCAAAAACGATGCTCTCGAACCCAAGAAAGCAGAGCGCGAAATCCTCTCCTCAGGACAGCACGCTTGAGGCATATTCCTTGAGTCCTACATAAACAATGTTGCAGTTTGAAGGCGTACTCCTTACTTATGCCACAACCCTCCAAGCAGTCACCCCACAAGTGCGGGCGTGCAACGCAGGTTTAGGCTTCAGGGTTTGGCTTTTAGCGTTTTCCTTAGAGGTTCATGGGTAGTTGTAAGTAGGGTTAGAAGTATGGCAACTATACTTATAACCCTTTGTCGGGTACTTATAACCCCTACTTTCAAGTACCAGTGAACCTCCAAGTAGCGTGTTGCACTCTATACCGGTACTGCAAGACACTGGGCCCTGGACCCCGGACTTCTGGATGCTTCTGGGGCAAAGGGCGGCTTTCTGATCTAGCTCCACGAAATCTAAAACCCGGCACCTGCTTGCACGAGCCCTAAACTCTAAACCCTAAACCCTAAACCCAAAAAACCCTAAAACCCCTTAAACCCTTGACCCGACCCGAAAACAAAGCCTCAAACCCTAAACCCTTAAAGAAAAAACCACTATCCCAGAAGCTCGAGGCTGAGATGCCTTCCCATCTGGGACCCTGAACTCAGCCCTTCAGACCCTGCACACCCTCCGACCCTCAGCAACCCTCATCCCTAAACCCCAGACCCTCAACAACCCCAACCCTCAACCCTCAACCCTCAACCCTCAACCCTCAACCCTCAACCCTCAACCCTCAACCCTCAACCCTCAACCCTCAACCCTCAACCCTCAACCCTAAACTATCCCTTAACCCTAAACCCTAAAACCCTACACCCCTAAACCCTCAAACATCCAGGGCCAGCACCTCAAGCCGTTGGCATTCTCTGGCCTTAGGGGCGCACACTTTCCCTCTGCGCCTTCGCAACTTCAAGAGTCCAAGGGTTTGGGGAGGATTAGGGGAGGTCTAGGGTTAAGGCTTTAGGGTTTGAGGTTTGGGGTTGAGGCGTAGAAGCTGTTAGGGTCTTAGGCTTTTAGGGGCTTATTACAATAGTGGTTTAGGTTCGGCTTGGGCCCTAAACCCTAGAACCCTATAAGGCGTTTTGGGTTTAGATTTTAGGGTTCTTCAAACCCTCAGGGCTTTCGGGCTTAGGGCTCAGGGTTTAGGGCTTAGTCGCCGCGAGGCTTCTGGGCGACAATGCGAGAGGCGCTGGCAGCACCGATTTTTAGACATCCGCCCTTAATCCCTGAACCCTGAAGTAAACCCAGAAGTAAACCCCAAAAACCCTAAACCCCTAAGCCCTAAACCCAACGTCCGAGTGCCCGACGACTGGCAGGCTGCTTTGCATCTCTGGGTCACCTGCGCACAAAATTTAAAGGGTTTCGGGCTTAGGGTTTAGGGTTTAGGCAGCGCGCACCCCAAAACTGTCAAAGGAAGGGTGAAGGGGCTGTATTAGGACCTCCAACGTGACCAGAATGATTGATAGAATCTAGGGGGGTGTGCGCGGGGCGTGAGGGGGTTGAGGTGGGGTACACCCGTGTTGAGAAGGACTCATCCCAAACCTTCAGGGTTTAGGGTTTGGGGTTTAGGGTTCATCCCCCAAACCCTCAGCCCACAACAAACCTTAAACCCCAGGCAACCTGCAACTCAAACCCTGCATCCCCGACACACCTATACACCTTAAGTGCAGCCTAAGCACCATCCCCAGACGTATCACTATTGCGCATACCCTAAACCCTAAACCCTAAACCCTGTAAGGTATTAAGCTTGATCGGGTTTTGCTAGATCCTCCCAGGCATCTGCGCCCCTGAGTCCTTAGCCATGAGGACCCTGAACCTGTCCCCCCTAAACCCTAAACCCCAAACCCTAAACCCCAAACCCTAAACCCCAAACCCTAAACCCAAGAAACAAGATTCCGGGCTTGTTGCCTCCTGGAGGGAGCTGACGTGGCACAGGCTGTCGAGTTCGGGCACCGCGGAGGGAGCCCACGACAGGATCCTCAAGCAACTGAGGGCTTGGGGCTTGTGGCTTGGGGCTTAGAGTTTAGGGTTCAGGGTTTAGGGTTCAGGGTTTGGGGTTGTGGGGTTGTGGGTGTAGGTTTGGGGCTAAGCCTATAGTCTATAGGCCCTTAATTCCAAAACCCGTAAACGTTTGGGCTCTCTTGTACGCGAACATATGTGCGGGCTTGTAGCTGTTGGCATTCTAGGGCCTTTTGGGGGGCTTCGGCTTCGTTGGGAACTAGGGTCGCAGCTCATCTGTGCTATTTTTTCTCGGCTGCCGATGCTGTCTTACGAGTATTACTGTAAAGTAGCTAAAGAAGACGGCAAAGCAGACGATCACACAAAAAGCGCGGCTCCCCCCTCGCTTACCGTCCTACAGCCTCAACCCCGTAACCAAGCACGCATCTTCTGCATATTGCGTGGGCTGTAAGAACAACACAGATTTACGCGGACTCCAGTATCCCGAAGCCGCCCTAGAACACACAAGCCGTGAAGTCCTCAAACCCCGAACCCCGAAACACCCACACCCTGAAAAACCCGTGGCCCGAGCTGATTCCGGAGTGGGCTCCGCTGGCCGTCCACCACCTTCCCCGCACCTCAAGAGAGCGGAACCTTCGGGCTTATACCTAAACCCCTATACATTTTAAAAGCTCTGGGATGCTGTAGGGGTTGAGGTTGTTTTCGGGGAATTGTCCTGAGTTTGGGGTTTTAAGGCTTTCAGGGTTTAGACTTCTACACATGGAAGCCGGAGACCTTCAACAGTCTTTCAGGTAGGATTGCGCAGTTTGATTGTCCGCCATTTAGAACTGAGGCCGCCACACCTGCGCAGTTGCTCTTGCAAAGCAGCCTGGGCATCCGGAGACAGACCGGCGGCATGCCAAACAGCAAAACAACAACATGTTTCCCCGAGACTCTCAAAGCCCTAAACACCTCACAACTCCAGGAACTCCGAATATGCGAAACGTAGCACCTCGAGCATGCTTAGAGGCACCGAGGCGTCGGCCAGCATAAAGGGTTGAGCATGCTGACGCTGGTCCTGCTCCATGATGGGATCCTATGCTACCCGCACCTCAAGTGTGGCTTGAATGAAGGTTATAAAAGGGTGCTGCCTTCTTGATGCAATTCCTCGGCCCAGAACACCTGCTCGCTATCTCAAACCTCTATAGAGACGTGAAGGTGCGGTTGGGAAACCAAGCCTGATACCCTAAACCCTATACTTCTACTAGACCCAAGAGTAACCTAGGTTTTTTCACGGGTGCCCTTGTTGTTTTAAAGGGGAGTCTAAGGGACCCTAAACCCTAAAAAAGGGAATAAGGGCCTACTCCGGGTCCTAGTCTAAGAGGGTTTAGGCGACTAGTGTCTAATGGGGCTTGAGACGTTCGTGTCAGCTGAACGGGCACCCGTGGCTTTCCTTGCTTATTCGGGCGTGGTCGCAACGATGTGCTTTCTTGTATCCTATAGACTCGGCCCTGCGTTCTATGGAGTATCCCCCAAAACCAAAAGAAGCATTGCTCTTACGGTTCAGACCTGCTCTAGACCACAACCCTAAACCCTAAACCCTAAACTCTAAACCCTAAACCCACAAACCCTGGTGAGACCTTTGCCGGCTGTGCCCCGCCTGGATGGAGGGCAGCAACTGCGCGACGCTGGCACCCAAGAGCTTGGAGTCTGCAGCCTGGTGGTTATAGATAGCTTCGTTAGGGGGGGGTTTAGGGTTTAGGGTTTAGGGTTTAGGGGTTTAGGGTTTGAGGGTTTACAAAACTAAACTACCCTACGCCCCAAACGCTGCGCGCTAAACACAAAGCCATCAACCCAGACGGAATGAACTAGTCAATGGTGCTAGCAGTCCCAAGAGGCGATACTTTGACCCCAAACAGACGACACCCAAAGACTCTACAACCTGTAATTGCGCCCATGGTCGTCCCCGCCGTGTCCGTGTCTGTGTCTGTGTTTGTGTCTATGTCTGTGTGTGTGGGGACGGGGTGAGGGTGTGTGGGCGTGTGGCTGTGTGGGGGTGTATGGGTGTATGGGTGGGTGTGTGAGGGTGCGGGTGCGCGCGTGGGCGTGCGCGTGTTCAATGCCTGCAAGAAGGGTTTGACACCGATGCGGCTTTTCAACGCCCGCCTCCAGCAGATTCACAAAGCACTTGGCCAGCAACTTCTCTCTGGACACCTGCTGCAAAAATCCTAAGCCCTAAGCCCTGAACCCTAAACCCTGAACCCTAATCCAACACCCTAACCCTAAACCTTAAACCCTAAACCCTAAACCCAAAAGCCCCAATACAGTGACTCGCCTAGTTGGTCTCAATGGCTGGGGCGTTTTATGTTTTTATACTAGCTACAGCCCTGCCCTCAACCCTTAACCCTAAAACCCTAAACCCTTTGGAGCCTGAGCCTCAACCCCACTCCCCCTTCCCCCCTCCCCCCCGGCACCGGCTCGGCGTGCAGCAAGGCTGAAAACGAAGCGGCCTCTGTGACAAAGGCTTGGGGGTGTTGCGCCTAAACCATCTGGGCTCTGGAGCGACCTAGGATTTGGGGTTTGGGAGTTTGGGTTTCTTACAGCAGCCAAGCAAACCCAAACTGGTCTGGACATGGCCACTTCCAGGGGGGTGTGGAAGCGATCGGTACGAACCCTCTCTCAAGATAGTCTATGGGGGATTCTCTGAAGAAAAAGTATGGTCCGTTTAGGCGCAGAGTACACAGTACCCAAATTACCCTAAACCCTAAATCCTAAACCATAAGGCTCCGAAATCCCAGAAGGGAACAGAACTTGGAGAATCCCCCCCTCCGCCCGCATAGGGTCGCTCATACAATTCATCGTTGGAGTTTTAGGGCTGAAAGCATGGGGGTTGGTTTGGGGCTTCTATAGGGTTAAGGTTTTAGGGGTTTCGGGGTTTAGTTAGGGTTTCGGCGTTTAGGGTTTAGGGTTCAAGGGTTTAAGGATCGAACGCTTCTTCATCCAGCCTCTGTTGCGGGATCCACTTCTCGCAGAATAGCATCGCACACCTCCCAGCGAGAGCCCTGCACCCGACGTAGGATATAGTGCTAGGGCTGATTACTAAACCCAAGAGTAACCTAGGTATAAACATCGGGTGCCCTTTTTAAAAGGGATTCTAACGGACCCTAAGCCTACTCCGGGTCCAAGTATAGGTTCAGAGGGTTTATCAGGTTTGCCTTTCAACCAACCCGGAGAGCTGCACCATGCATGTCCCTCACCGGACATTCCCAGGCACCAGGTTGCACCAAGCACCACTTGGAGGTTCATGGTACTTACTAACCAATTATAACTGTACTTATAACCCACTTATAAGTTAAGCCCCTTAAGTGCCCTAATATAGTCATGACTTGGGTCATAAGTACAGCTAGACTTGGTTGATGAGTACCATGAACCGTCAAGCAAGCCGTGCAAAACTCCCAGGCAGGGTTTGGGGTTGAGGGCTACAGGTTTGGGGTTTAGGTCTTCGGCTTTAGACGGGTTCTTAAGCCTTGGTTCGGGTTGGAAACTTGTTGCGATCTCTAGGGGGCTGAGATCAGACACAAATTCTCATGTCCCAACCCGAAACCCTAAAGCCTAAAAAGACTGCTCATGCTTGCGTGTGGAACCCCGGGAATCTCCAATTTTACAAACCTTAGGGTCAACGATGTCACTCACTGTATGTACAGAATCATTGGATATTGGTTCTATTGCCAGACAGTCCACCCTACGAAGGTTTAAGGGGTTTAGGGCTTTTGGGGTTTACAGGTTTTTAGGGCCTTAGCGTTCTGGTTGAGGGCATGTTCGGATTTGGAATTCGGAAGATCGCACCGCTTACATCGGCCTCTTGCAAATCTCTGTTGGCGCCGCGGCCACTCGATCGAAGCTTCCGCACCAATCTTGTGTGCACCTGGCACTCAGATTTCACGGTGGTTCGGGCTATCCCTAAACCCTAAACCCTACACCCTACACCCTAAACCCTAACCCCTAAACCCTACACGCTAAACCCTAAACCCTACACACTCTAATCCCTAAACCCTAGGCCCTAAACCTTGCTGAGCCTTCTTGATGAATATCTTCGCATCTGCCGATGCCACGGAACCTGGCCCCACTGGTCATTGCACGAGCCGTGCAACACCTAGACCGGGTTTAGGGGTTAGGGTTTTAGGGATTAGGGTTTAGGGCTACAACCCTAAAACGCTTTGAACCCTAAACCCTAAACCCTAAAACCCTAAACCCTTTTGCTTAGGGAGCTCCCAGAGACTCCAATCACCTTATAAGGAATACGTACTCCTGAGCAAGTAAGAGGGTTCCTTATATGGTTGAATATTCCTTACCTCAGGGGTATTGGAGTCTCTGGGAATAGCGGGGATTGGTCGTATTTGGCTCAAGTGGCAAACCCCCAAAGCCTTCGGAACACTACACACGCGAAGCCCTGCCCAGGGACCGTCGCATCCCCATTAAGGGTTTAGGGTTTAGCATTTAGGGAGGAACCAACGCTTGGCTTTCCATGATGGCCCTGGTAGAGTCTTAAGCCCAGGAGCCCTGTGAACTCCAGATCCGATAAGCCAGGTTTTGGGTTTTAAGGCATTTTTGTTTTAGATACGAGGGATCTATGCATTTAGGCCACGTACTTTGACTACCCAGAGACTCCAATACCCCTTGATTAAGGAATATCCCCGAAAACCATGTAAGGAACCCTCTTATTTTTTCAGGAATATTCCTTAATTAACGGGGTATTGGAGTCCCTGGGTAGGTTACCTACTATCATTGGGGGGGCTTTGGAGCCTGCAACTGGAGAGTCGCAACCTGCAAGCTTCCAGGGTTGGGGACTACAGGTGAAGCATAGGGCTTTGGGGTAACCTTAAAGAACCCTTTCAATTGGGATGTTAGGGAGTACAATACGGGGTACTATAGTCCCGACTAAGGACTGTTAGACCAGGTTTTAGGATTTAGGGACCTAGGCGCCCACGCTGCCAGCTATGGCCGCGGCAACCTGCAGACCTTGAAGCATCCTGACGGGGGGGGGGGGGGTTGAGGGGGCTAGAGTGCCTTTTTAGGGCCCTATGGGGCGCACAAGGCTTTTCGGATTTATGGGGCCTCTACTACTGTATATGGTGTGGCCCTCTCTTGTTGCAGGATGTATGGGGGTTGTTCCAAATCGGGGTCCTCTCTGGAGACAAGCAAGATGGGAGCCCTACTTGCAATGAACGACTTGCATACACGGACAGAGAGTGTTTTGATCAACTGCAATCGAGGTTCGCGCTTAAGGTCCAGGACTTCAGAGCCAGAAGCTCTTGCCCAGATGGTTAGCCGACGGAAGAAGGTCGAGTTTGGGGTTTACCCTCAACCCGACACCCTAAACTCTTAGGGTTTGGGGTTAAGGGATGGGCCACGATGGGCGTCCTGGTGTCCACATCGGCGGCATCTGCAAACGTGCTGATCTCACCTGCAGTGGGAAAAGGTTTCAAAGGCTCCGAAACCCAAAATTGGGATGTTCCCCTTATACTAACAGTCCTTAATAGGGATTATACTAGGGGGTACGATAATCGGACTGTTACTATAAGGAGGGAATCCTAACCCTAAACCACCAAGCCCTATCAATTCCAAAGCCCTGCTCCAAGCAAGACGGCGTTATCTGCAGAGACCTACGCAAAATTAGGAGGCCGCAGTCGTTTATGTGGGAAAACTTCTTGTATGGTTCATAGTGGATGCTACAAAAAGAAGCTAGGGTTTAGGGTTAGGGTTTAGGGTTTAGGGTTTAGGGTTTAGGGTTTAGGGTTTAGGGTTTAGGGTTTAGGGTTTAGGGTTTAGGGTTTAGGGTTTAGGGTTTAGGGTTTAGGGTACATCCCCAAGATGTGGTAAACCGGCTACAGAAACTGCGGTCTTGCAACTACGCTCCGCAATGCTCCGCATGAGGGCCGAGGGCCCCCGCGCAAGACTTCCACGAGATCTTCGGACACGTCCTCTGGTCTTTGCCTCGTCTTATAACTGTACTTATAACCCACTTATGAGCCCCTTAACATGGTTATAAGTACAGTTATCATTGGTTAATAAGTACCA